GCGACCGAATCAAGAAATTCCGTAAGGAAAAAACCTTACGAGAGTGCATATACCAATAGAACACAATTTTTGTCAATCTAGTAACGATCTAAATGGCGCAGTGTCTCTAATTTATTTGCCTCGGGACCAACGTTCGACGCATCACCGCGGTCGTCGGTTCGGTAAATGAAATAAATAAATAATTAAAATTGCATAAGTTGATAAAAAATGCTATGCAATAGCTTTACCGCGGCAGTCCCCGAGTGCCACACGTATTTTTTTTATTTGTATTTTACCGTGCTGACGGCAGCACTGGGGGTGACATATTATTTTGTAAATTATATATTATTGAAGTAGATAAGTAGGTTTAGGTAATTTGGATAAAAAGTAGGGTAAGAGCACCAGTGAATGAGCACCCCTCAGTGAATAAACAGAAGAGTAGAAAAAAAAATGGGTGCGTGTACTTATGTAGGCGCGTGAGAAGTTATCCTTCTTTGGCATCGTTTAAATTAGTTTTTAATCGCATGCAAATAATTAATTACAATAAATTAATAAAAAGTCTGGAAAAGGACACAGTCAATAAAGTTCAGTTTTAATTTGAAAAAATAAATAAATAATCAAAATATTCAATTAAAATCGCTACTGAATATAATTTATTAGAACATATGTGATTTGCACTTGTATGAAACTCAAACACGTATTCCGAATATACAAACTAGAAACATGTGGATAAATATTATAAATATGAATACCTATAACTGTTACTTTATTACAAAAAATAAAGATGTGGTTTTTGGTTCTACTACACCAATGGTCAAGAGATGGCGCTGTAGTCTCCTGAATCGCGCTTTGGTTCCGTTGTTCCAGATTAATAAATACTTTTGATAGGCCTTCACAATGCAGTCGTTAGCACCCACTAAATAGAGATTCTATTTTATTGGTAGATTTTCTTAATGTGCGGTAAACACAAAAGTAACAGCATGAAGTTGGTCGCTTTAGCGACCAACTTCATGCTGTTAATTTTTTGTGTTATAGTGATGCGCGTGCATCTTAAAATTTCACTCTCATCATTTTTTCATAACGCGCCTAAAGAAGTATAACTTCAAAAATCAAACAGTGTATAGACAGGTAGTTTTTTTTTTCAATCTTCTTTTAAAGGTTTTTACCTAATTTAAAGGATATGCCAGCCCCATCATATCCTAAAATTATAAATTACAAAATTAATATATAAGTACTATGAGCTAGTTGCAAAAAATATGTTCGCCCCCGGGTGGGCTCGAACCACCAACCTTTCGGTTAACAGCCGAACGCGGTAGCCAATTGCGCCACGGAGGCGACGAGAACTCACAGCGAAATTAATTATTATACAATAGAATGCTATTATAAAGTGCAGTGTACTCAAGCAGTGGCCAATTTTAAGATAGGTGACTGATTTTTTTTAATGTCACCCGCTCCATGTTTCGGAAGGCACGTTGAGGTTCCAGCTGCATCTGCTGTCCTGTACCCTTAGTACGAGTTTGATCTCACGAAAACTATCATAGTTTTCGTAATTGTAAATTATGTTTCTATGTCTATTTTGGTGAAAAGTAACCAAATACTTTTAAAATTAAGGAAGACGCAAATTATTTAATAATAGAATTTAAACACTGTTTATTTGTATTGAAACGAAAACAATAAAATCTGTACGAAAACTATCATAGTTTTCGTAATTGTGAAACTCGTTCTAAGGGTACTGTACTTTTTTTTTGAGTGTGTATGCTGTTGGTCGCAAATGACCTTTACAGCGTCACCGAATTTGGGGACGGCGAGATCCTAAGGGGACCTCAAGCCGAGAATTGGCGAGGTATTCCAGACGGATGGCATCTCCCAACAGGGGGGAGTCTCATCTCCGTCTGGAGCCTCTAGACCTCTCGAACCTGAGGGGAAGATAATAATACATTTTTGCAAAGTCAATTGGCTGTTAACTTAAAAAAAAAATGGGTGCGTGTACTTATGTAGGCGCGTGAGAAGTTATCCTTCTTTGGCATCGTTTAAAATTAGTTTTTAATTGCTTGCAAATAATTAATTACAATAAATTAATAAAAAGTCTGGAAAAGGACACAGTCAATAAAGTTCAGTTTTAATTTGAAAAAATAAATAAATAATCAAAATATTCAATTAAAATCGCTACTGAATATAATTTATTAGAACATATGTGATTTGCACTTGTATGAAAAATAAAATTTTGTGTTACAGTGATGCGCGCGCATCTTAAAATTTCACTTTCATCATTTTTTCATAACGCGCCTAAAGAAGTATAACTTCAAAAACATTCGGATAATTGTAGTTACTATTTTCCTTCCATATGTTACATTAAGATTCGTTAATTAATTTTATTCCTCGACTAAATTATCTGTTCCGATAACGTGCTTACGCGCGCAATTGATAAATAAAATATGATGACATCATTGTTACGAAGACAATAAAGACATTAATATTATTTGCACTCATCGACAATTTCATTCATTGATTACATTGTTTTTTATTCGGAAATCGGAAATCAATATATCTTTATTCAAATTGGATGTATAGGACAACTCTTTTGATTTGAATAGTCCATTTTTTCCCTTCCACTCGTTATCTATATACTTATAATAAATCTGTAGAGATGTCAATTCTGTACATGAAATATATTTTTAAAATAACTATCAGGGGCGATTAGTGATCGATACTGATGCCAAAAATGCAACCAGTAAAATTTTTATCTGTCTGTCTGTCTGTCTGTCTGTCTGTCTGTGTGTATGTTCCTTATAGAAACAAAAACTACTCAACGGATTTTAACGAAACTTAGTACAATTATTCTTCATACTCCTGGGCAGGTTATAGTACACTTTTCATCACGCTACAATCAATAGCAGCAGAGTAGTGAAGGGAAATGTTGGGAAAACGGGAGAAGTTACTCCATTTTTTTAGCTTCCGTCGCGGGTGCAGCCTTAACGGTTAAAGTTACATAGAAATCATGTATGACGGAAATATTCTACATAAAATTGTCTAAAAAATATCCCGCAACAGCATATGTCTATCTTTTATGGTTGACTCACAATAACACGTGTAATTATATAAATAAAGTCATTCTTTATAGCACAAGCCTGAGAACAAAAACTATAGTTTACACTACAGCTCTACACCGAAGCGAAGCGAGGGCGGGCCACTAGTTGGACATATTTTTTAGCTACGGAGAAAAAAGAGCGAAAAAAAACTCCACGACGTTAAAGTATAATATAACTATTTACAAATCATTATGTTGTTACAACGCCAATACAATCATGATTTATTTAAGAGCTCTTTTTAGCGTAGGTAGATTTGCACTGGTATAGGTACTCGTATATATTGCATTTTACGGGTGATATTTCGAGTCTTATGAAATAATTATTAATGAACTAATTATAAAAATATGTACATATTTCAGTAGTTCAATGATGGTAGATTAGTTTTATGAAAGTTTTTGATAGTAATTCTATTTAATTCAATATCAAAATACGAGGTAAATCTGCATTATTTTTTGGGAAAACTCACGGAGGTTAGATGTTTTATTTTGATAAATAAAGAGATGGAAAATCAATATTCTAATACATTATGTTACAACAAAAACATATTTTTCTGATATCGTTGTAATTAAATTGATCTAGTTTGTTGAATATTATTGGGAGATTGAGGAGTTTGAAGTTGTGCATATTATCGTTTTTTCCGTAAACTAGCTGCAGTAGAACGATCAGTACAAAAAAAAGGAAAATAGTATTTGCAAATATTCTACATTAACTTACAATAGGAAGAATAAATCTACTGTTTACTTCTATTGGAAATAGTCAAAATTCTGTTCTAACGGGGTAAACGAGGCGCTCAAAATTTACGATTTTTTTACAAAAAACGTGAAAGGGCTCTTAATATAGAAAACCTATTGGAATGGTTTGAACAGTTCAAATTAATTAGGTGTTCTTGTTCCTTAAACGGTCAAGGGCGGATCCAGAGGGGGGGGGGGGTCATGGGGTCATGACCGCCCCCTGGGCTGGGTCCATCTGTCCATCCAATTTATTGCATCTCGTATAAAAAAAAATACTGCATAAAACCCATATCTATTTCTCTGAAGGATCGCATCAGAAATGAGGTAATCCGACAGAGAACCAGAGTTATCGACATAGCCCACCGGATTAGTAAGCTGAAGTGGCAGTGGGCTGGCCATATTTGCCGAAGAACCGATAACCGTTGGGGTAGACGAGTTCTGGAATGGAGACCGCGTCTAGGCAAACGTAGTGTAGGACGTCCTCAGGCACGATGGAGTGACGATTTGCGCAAGGTGGCTGGCAGGAGCTGGATGCGAGTAGCCCAAGATCGATCTGAGTGGCGTGCAATTGAAGAGGCCTATGTCCAGCAGTGGACTAGGATAGGCTGTTGATTGATTGATTGAATAATATCTAGACAGCAAAGCTCAATTAGTACTTTTTGGCGGGATCGGGAAGCGTCACTTTAGCAGTATTGTTTTTCTTGTTAAAAATTGTGTTGTGGCGGATGTTAGTGTCTAATAATGGTGGATTATTAACCACTAAGTGTTCGGGAACATGCACAAGTATTGGCAAGTGAAACAAAATAGCGGAAAGTGTCTTTCGACGTTCCCTCAAAAAGTCCACGGGGAGGTTCCAGAAAATCCCCACACGTTTACTGAAACATAGGGAAAGGGGGATTGACTTGACTGCCATTTACTTTGACTTGATTTATTACTTTGACCACGAGTGCTATAGTATTTTTAAACATTTTAACACTTGACATTGGCTAAATGCACAAGCCGTGCGAAGCCATTTAGAAAAAAAAAACTCAATTAGTTTTAGAAGTCTTTTTAGATTCTCGCCGTTCTCAAACCCGAAGACGCTGTAAAGGTCATCTGCGACCAACAGCATACACACTCAAAAAAAGATTTGATTGTGATAGATGGCTTTTGGCCTGCCTCTGTTGTTTACCAGAGTTTTAAAATATGTTTTTGTTTTCAGGCTAGTGTACGAGCGAAGTCAACCCTCCGAATGGTTACCGGTGTGAAAATACCCCAATACGAAATAGTTGAGGTAAGATTTTTTTTATACATACTAGGTAGGCAAATGACGATGAATGATGAGGAGGTCGATGGCGCAAGTGGTTAGCGCGTACGGCTGCGATCGTTGAACTTAAGCAACTTTCGCAGTGGTCTGTCATTGGATGGGTGACCAAAAATTACTATCCCGAGCTCCTCTGTGGTTCGGAAGGCACGTTAAGCCGTTGGTCCCGGCTGCATCTGCAGTCGTTTGCACCCACCAATCCCCTCTGGGCCCGCGTGGTGGGTCATGGCCCAATCTCCCTATTCCATCCATAGGAAAGGCCTGTGCCCCAGCAGTGGGGACATTAATAGGCTGATGATGAGGCAAATGACTCTACCCCTTAGATAGTTTTATTTATTTACGACCTCCGTGGCCGAGCGTTTTGTACGCCGGGTTACATGGTGTCGCCGACTCGAGAGGTCCCAGGTTCGAATTCTGGTGGGGACAGATGTTTGTGTGATGAATACGAGCATTTGTACTCCAGTCATGGATGTTTAATATGCATTTCTATATTCAAATATACTTATATATGTACAGTTTATGTATTCTATCCGTTACCCTAGTATCCCATAACACAAGCCTTACAGTGCTTACTTTGGGGCTAGGCTAATTGGTGTGAGTGTTGGAAATATTTATTTATTTATTTATTTACTATTGGGTGCCCACAACTTTGTTTGCGTGGAAAAAAATGGTTTCTGCTAAGAAAACTACCCTCATCTCTTTGCCCCCCTTGAAGTATTATAAACCTATCGTGTCTCTAAACCTAATTTGTCCCAGCAAACTTTTTCCATTTCAGTCCGGAGTGGAACCTTATGAGCATCTTGGGATAGAGAAAGGAGGCCAACAGATACACGAAGCCAAGGTGGCTTGGCTGGACTTGCTGAAGCGACTGATCCTCATAGTCCAACTCAGAGTCAGCTTTACGTTGGTCGAGTTAGCCAACAAGAGCGCCACAAAGTAAGCCCTGATAATATTGTTTTTAACTTTCATGGTCACTAACATTATAGTAATATAAGTTATTTAAGGGATTTAAGTTATTAACAACGATACGCAGAAATCAGCCATCGCGGAACATTTGATTGATTCTGGTCGTAACCACTGGATTGAGTTTCATAACCCACAGATTATCTCGACAGAACGCCACTACGTACCAAGATTGGTCCGGGAAGCGATTGAAATAACAAAACATAAAAATTTCAATCGTGAGGACGGGTTTAAATTGTCGAGTGTCTGGAATCCTGCGGTGCGTATGTGTAAAACCGGAAACAATCAAAAAAGTGTCGTGTCGCGATCCGATACTGTTAGTGTTGTGTGTCGAGAACAGTTTCGAGTGAATAGTGAGAATGTGAACAGTGGTACGGGTATCGAATGCAATAAAAGACTTCGTCGGAGGGTAGACCGATATGTCTGCCAATAACAGCCTACCCGCAATTACTTCAGTTACTCCGTGATCATGGCGCTTGCAACAGTGCCGAAATATCGGAAACTCGTTAAAAACAAGGTACATAGTAACAATCCCGTAAATAACTTATATTACTATAATTGTTTTAAACTTTAGTAGTGCTACACTATAGTGAGTTTCAACACTTATTCTAAGAAACTGCCTGGCTCAAAAAGGCGTTAACCCAGAGCCGTAAAAAGCAATATTAAAAAAGGACCACAAAACGCAGATGTGGTCATAAAATTTATGCGAATCAATTGGGAGCAGTATTTTACTTCTAAATTATTACAGCTTGAATCTATCTTATCTATTCTGCTCGGGAAAGATTGAAGCTGGCGTATTCTATGATTTTCTTTCGTTTTCGATCCTGTGTAGGAGTATAGTTATAACACTATATCGCAAGGCAATACGGTCTACCATTTTTACAGCAGCAATATGTAATTAAGCCACAAGCGAAAAAAGGTTGAACGCAGTGGATTTTGAAATTGGCAAATCTTCACATTGCCATTTTGGATGGAATCGATGATATTGGCAACAATGATGACCACTCCATCAACGTGGCTACATCTTCAGAATTCACTGTTAAATAAAGCACTTGTTCCAGTATCAGCAAAGATATAACTGGCTAATGGTGTCGATTCTGGCATGATTCTCTATACTTAAAACTAAATTTAACATCAGTCTCTCCTTTTCTTTCTGTATAGAGTATGACAAAGATATACTATTGTCAAATTTAGTTTTGCGCTTAGAGACACCAATGTCTATTCTTTTGCTCATGTGATTATTTACTTCTGGTCTGACTTTACGCTCTAGTGGCGTTCGTTGTCAAAGCTTTTCGTTGCTCGCTATTTTGTTTCTAGATTTTGAATCTACTCACATTCTGCTAATCGTTGCCAGAGGAACAAGTGCTTAAATACAGAAACAGACTTGTGAAACGCGATGCCACCCCACGCGACGCGACATGTATTTACAATGGCGCATCGTGTCGCGTCGGATGTTCCTAATGTGTTTCTGATTATTGAATTTAGTACATATTGTTCTGACTCAACACGCGTCGCGTCGCGTTTCATAAATAAGTTTCTTTTGGCTATTATTCTAAAAGTCGCGGCCTCGCATTGATTTAGGTTTTAGGTCACTTTAGATTCAAAATTTGAATCTCTCATTGCTGAATCCAATACCACCACACATTTGTTACAATAACTTTCGTGCCAACATTTCACCGGACAAATCCTCTGATTGTGTTACAAAAATCAAACGGTATTGGTGTTGGCGATTGGATTTTAGATCGTACTTATACCCCAGATTTGTCATGGATATTAATAGATGTTTTATGCCCAAAACCACATAATGTTGGAAATGTGAGGCCGTGGCTCTGTTTAGACTATTTGGGTCAAGCTGCTGATGAAATCACCCTTCCGTCTTTCTAAGGACTGTTCCGGGTACTTTTTATAATCACTGACAGGTAATCATCATTTATATTCTTGATTTTGATAGGGCTATCGATAATTGTAATATTAAAATAAAGCTACGGGCAGAAAGCTACAGCAATAGACGGAACAGCATAAAAATTTTGGACAATCTATTAGATGATGAAACGAGATCGTATGTAGGATGTTGAGTTTAAATGTAGTGATTTTTGGAATAATTATGAGATTAAATGTAAAGTTCAGATGATCTTAGGTTACTAAACAAACAAGGAAAACACAGCAATATATGTAATAACTACACACATACACAAAAAATGAAGAACATGTTGATATGATAGTTAATTCAGTATTATTATTATTATCATGATACGAAAGGATGGTGTTAATTCATATAAATTCTTAAACACTACTTAAAGATATTTTAGGTGATTTAGAAATTATTATACGGTTTTAGAATAAGGTAAGTATTTCCTACAAAAACAATAATTCCAAAACTAGTAAATGAGAGATTGCCGGATGAAGAAGAAATTTCAAGATTTTAATATCAGGTCATGAAGTTTCAACCATTAGTCATATTTAATATGTTTATTTCGTCAGCTGATTTAGATGTTTTTTTTTTACATAATGGATATAAAAAGTATGAGTTGACAAAAGAACATGTCATTTCATACTTCAAGACTTTGGAGCGATGAATTTAATTTTTTAATTATAATAAGTGTTGGTGCTAAAAAAAGTATTCGTTGCAGTCCTGGATAGACGCAGCAGCTATAGCTCTTTGAAGCAAATCGTACAGGATCATATTGATATTGACAGGAGACAGAATGTACTACAAAAGGTGGTGGCTCCGAAAACGCTTGCAACTTTGAGATATATAGCTGATGAACTAGAAGAGAAGGAAAGAGAGGATTTTTATAGACTTAAAAAGACGATGGGAGTTAAACAGAAACTGGCATTTGCCGCGGCAAAGAAAAGTCAAACTGCTTTAGAGAAACCAGTAGCTGACAAACTCGAGGAAATAACTATCGCTGAAACACAAGAAACAGAATCCAAAATACTACAAGAAACGGATGGAGATAATTTATCCACAACTGATTCTGAAAGTTTTAATAAAACAGGCATTGCATCCACTGACTCTGGAAGTTTTTCTAAAACTGGTAGTGAAGCTACATCTTCTCTTTATGAAAAAAACTCGAGATTAAAATCAGCGTCTGAACTTGATAAAGCAAATATCAAAAAAATAATGATAGAAAATTCCAATATTTCTAAAATAACTTATGAAGATTCTTTCGCGTCAACCAATGTTGCAAGTTTCTCTAAAACTGTTAGTGAAGCCATATTTATTTATGGCGGAATGTATGAAAGGAATGTTACATTTAGCATTGAAACCATGAAATCAGAAAAAGTCACCGATAATCTGAAAGCTCGAATAAGTAGGGTCACTGTAAGAATAGAGGATACAGAGGCAGATAAAGTTGAAGAGGAAATATTTGCAAAAGAAAACCTAACAGAAACTGCACCAGATTTGGATCTTGGAGTGTGGGAGACTGAGTACGAAGAAATCACTCAAGTAGTACGGGTCAAAAAGGAAGATGGTACCATAACAGAAGTGACAAAAATTATTAAAAGACAAAAGGAGAACAGGGCACTTCTAAACAGTCAAGACGAGCTAAATAGGAATAAAAATTTGAATACTTCTTCAGCAACATCGTCTAAATCTACTCATTATTCTGGTTCTAGAATGATAGGTACTGTGACGGCGAAGAAAAGATCCGCGTTTAGTGTTAAAAGGAATGCTGTTTCTGAAACAATTATGTGTGCACCTACGATAGCTTACTCAGCCACCCGGAAGTGTTTATCGACAGCTTGCCTTAATTCGACAAATTTTGATAGTATTTTGAATTCGAATTGTATGTCGTTGTTTAAAAGTTATGACAATATTATCTCTCAAGATTTTATAGGACGTGAGTCACGTATTTCTAGCGTTGAATATGAAGTCATCACCAACATCTATGAATCAGCAAGCTCATCTATTTTTCACGCTAATGATGGCTCCTTTGCGAATTGATAAAAATCACATTTTTCCTTAAGGTCATAAATACGTACCTGTCTAATTGATTCTCTTCATACAATAAAATTAGAGAAATATCGTATCAGTATAATGGATTTAATGTGTTAAGACCAGTCAAGTTAAAATAGCTGCGATAGTCAAATTATTTTTTCTTATACATTTTTTTAACGCAGATCATTAATATTCATGAACAATAAGTGTTTTTGTAAATTCAATTACATCTGAAATAAATTATTGAATGTTCTTTTTACTGCCTCCATACCTACCTATATATAATATAAGTTCGTTACTTAACTGATTATTGTTTATTCTGTTACTACTACTTCAAATGCTAAATCAGTTTTAAATATGAGCTCTATTGAATGAATAATGTCCTTGGGAAGATGGAGTGAAATTTATGATGGGTGTCTTTGAGCAGCAAATTATGAGGCGTCACTAATAATATAAATGTTGTTGGCAGACGATCAAAAGTGATCAATAAAATCCTGATACCACGAACCACAATGACAATTCACTACATAATTCTCGAATTGGAAGAAAAGGCACGAGAAGAAATGTTTAAAATGAAGATGATCAAAAAGAACAAACTTAAAACACAATCGCAACCAATTTGTCCAATATGCAAATTAAAAATAGATCCCACGAAAAAAGAAACAGAGATATCAGCAATATCACTAAAAACAGCTGAGATGCCTAAAGCTGATATATGTTGCAAAAGCGTTGATTTAGTTATTCATAAACCAGGGTCTACATCAGATTTGCCAAAAAGAGAAACGACAGCAGTCCTATCTATATCAAGAAGTATTACAGAATCAGTAAAAAAGTTAACATTCGACTTACATCAAAAAGAAGTTACAAAAGAGCAACTGGAAAAAGATATATCTTCTGCAAAACAGCCTGATAAATCAGAACATATTGCATCAAATCATAATATTGCACAAAATACTAAGTTAGACGAATTGAAGAAACTGCTTGTAGAAATTATAACAGTAGGTAAGGATGTGGTTCAAACAGGCTTAAGCAATACGGATATCAATAAATTTCTCAGAACATGTGACGATGCTAAAACGAGGATAGATAGCTTCATCTTAGCTAAATATAATGGAACTGCAAATGTAAACTCAAATTTGAATGAACGTTTGAATCAATTAAAAACTTATTTAAAAAAAGTTATAGAATTTACTCCAGAAATGAATGATGACGCAAAATCGATAGAAAATGTAAGTTGCTCAGCTGAATGTAGCAAAAAGGATGGTTACAATTCAAGTGAAAATTCAAATGCTAAAAAATCTGACCCCATGCCGGAGAAAAGTCAATTCTGCCAGGGTCATCAAGAAAATGATTCAATAGCTATTACGAAATCCCCATGTATAATAAAAAATGAAGATTCAAGTAAAACTTCTGTGGTAAGATGCAGTCAAAACAAGTCTCATAACTTAAATACAAACAATAATGAGAAAGATAAACTAGCAAATGATTTTAAACCTTCTTTACTAGTAACAGCTAATATTTATGAGACTGGTGTCAAGCAGGATAAAAGTATAGAACCAAACTTAAAAGAATATAGTTTAGATAAACTTACAATATGTTGCAAACATATTAAAGATAAATTAGAAGCTTGCATGAATGAATTGAATGCCGAAACTATTTCATACAAAGACGATTGTAAGTTTCTAAAGCAAATGAAAGAAAATAAAGATCTTATTAGACTGTCTGTAAAAGCAAAAAGTCCTATATCAGAAAATACCAATGATTTAATTGAATGTTGTGAAAATATTAAAAAGCTCATTAATTCTAATAAGAGTGAAAATGCTCAGAATACCCTTGAAGTTTGTACTAATATAGAAAATGCGATTGCTTTACTTCGAGAGTTGAAAAAAGAAAGTTTAATTAGTAATAGCCTTCCAGAAGTTTTAGAAAATTGTAGCTCTAAACAAAATTCTTGTATAAAGAACGCAGAAACAAAGTCCAACGAATCTATACTGTTATAATTATAATAATAATTATATAACAAGTAAAAAAACTAAACAAAAAGATGAAGCTAAAGACCAAAGCTGCAAATGTCTGCCTGAAAGAGAATCAAGTGAAAAAAGATTCAATAAAATATCTACAAACCTTTACGATAAAATAGAAAAAATATGTAAATCGATAGACCATCTCTGTACTCAAGATTGTTTAAGTTCCAGTAATTCACTTGTCATAAAAACATCGAAGCAAAGATTATTTGCAGAGCATACAGCAAAAAATAACCAACCAAACGAACCAGAAAAAGAAATGTATATGGGTAAACCTAGTAACAAAAGTCTGTCGATCCGAAGTAGTCCTGAACAAAAATCACAGCATTCAATAAATGAAAAACAAACAGAACCTATAGCAGAAATGCAACCTGATGGTTCTCTAGGTTTATTTGAAAAAAGGGTGAAGAAAATAGTGAGAGTCACAAGAACATTGAATGAAGATGGGACGGTTCGCGAAGAAACGGAGACAATCACAATAAAAAAGAGTAGACACGACCCAACAGCTACAACGCTTATGGAGGAAGATGAAAATGAAAGTGACAACTTGTCTTTTAAAGATTTTGATGATACTATATCCAGTAATACTAAGACACCAAGTAGTAAGTAGTAAATTGTGATCAATTTGTACCTTTATACAACCACAATTAAATAACTTTGCACACAAAGTTTATAGTTACCTGAATTTAATATGTTCACAGAATTAATTTGATAATACAAAATTTTCAAAATTCCACACTATTAGATTATCAAGTATTTAATTCAGAATAAAAAAGCATCTCAAAAATATATATTGACTAGTTTCATTTTAATGATAATAATTAATACATATTAAACAATATACTTTGCAAAACAGTATATGAACATGAATAGTAAATAAAAACCCAGTTAAAAAGAAACTTAGACGAATGAACTATATAAATCATTATTAAACTATTTTTCTTTATTGACTGTTAGGATTTAGGTAAGTATATCTAATATAACGAATAATGAAATTAAGTATGATTCATTGGATAGGTTTATAATTTATAAAACATGGTAAGGATTATTATATGAAGATTGTGATTTAGTCAAAGCCGGGAAGGGTGAGTTCTCAGCGTGAGCCACAATGTTTAAAAGACACAATTGGTATAACGATGATTTATTCCAACAGGAGAAAAAACGTGTTGTCGAAAACAGTTACACCAAGAATTATGGCTACTCTGATGTACATTATGTCAGAGTTAGAAGAGCAAGCTCGAGAAGAAACGTTTAGATTGAAAAGAGTAAAGCAGAATAAAACTAAGAAATCCGATAGTCAGAAAAAAGATCGACAATTTGATCCTGAAGACCCAGTATGCACTTGTAACATGCTCGAACTAGACGATGAAGATATTACTGAAATGTTATATCCGAACGGAACAAACTCATTTAAAAATATATCAGAAACAACGGTAACCTCTAAGCATTCTGCCAAACCATATGATGATGAAGACAAAAAACAGTTGGATTATCTCTTAACACACGTGGACGAGATTGTCCAAAATTTGGAAAAGCAAAAAGAAATATCCAAGAGCACTGAACAGTTAATAGAAACATGTAACAAGTTTAAGGGTACAATAAAAAGTTTGACTACCACAACACCTTCACAATCATCTCATCCTCCCCAAAATTCCAAGCCTCAACTAAGCAAAGCAAGTTCATCTAGCTCAAATGGAGACAACGTTAAAAAGGCAGGGAGCTGTGGACATTCCTGCTATCGAATGATCACACAAGAAATTGGTAGAGACACAAGTACCATGAGAAGTACAGCGTCCGAATATCATAAGCGCTGCATTGCTCCTATAGATGTGGATCAAAAAAACTACATGCCGGTACCTCAATCAAAAACCGATGAATATCTTAAAGTAGACTCACATGAAGCTGGAAATAAGGAAACACCTTGTCCTTGTTATAAAACAAAAAGTAGCTCTGCGACCGACCAGTCCAAAGTAAAGTTGACGACACCAAACCTGAAGACTGAAGAATATTTGAAAATATACTTGTCAGACGAAGAAGAGTCTGCTGTAAACAAAGTTGGGCTTTGCCCTACGTGTGCTGAGAAGCCAAAAGTTAATAACCTTGACAGAATAGAGAACATGTCAGCTCCGCAATCAAAATCGGAGGAATATATTAAAGAGCATTTGTTACATCAAAATAAGTCAGCGGGAAGCAAAAAAGATCGATGTTCCAAATGTGGTAAAAATACTGAAAATTGCTTAACCTCTGATATTCAAGAAAGAATAGAGTTAATGTCAGCACCACAATCACAGTCAGAAGAATATGTTAAAAAGCATTTAATGCAACAAAACAAGTCAGCAGCACTTAAAGAAGCTATGTGTTCCAATTGTGGTAAAAAAACAGTAAATGGCATGCCGCCTGATGTTCAAGACAGAATACAACTAATGTCAGCACCACAGTCACAGTCAGAAGAATATGTTAAAAAGCATTTGTTGCACCAAAACAAGTCAGCAGCACTTAAAGAAGCTATTTGTTCCAATTGTGGTAAAAAAACAGTGAATGGTATACCACCTGATGTTCAAGACAGAATACAACTAATGTCAGCACCACAATCACAGTCAGAAGAATATGTTAAAAAGCATTTAATGCAACAAAACAAGTCAACAGCACTCAAGGAAGCTATGTGTTCCAATTGTGGTAAAAAAACAGTAAATGGCATGCCGCCTGATGTTCAAGACAGAATACAACTAATGTCAGCACCACAGTCACAGTCAGAAGAATATGTTAAAAAGCATTTGTTGCACCAAAACAAGTCAGCAGCACTTAAAGAAGCTATTTGTTCCAATTGTGGTAAAAAAACAGTGAATGGTATACCGTCTGATGTTCAAGACAGAATACAACTAATGTCAGCACCACAATCACAGTCAGAAGAATATGTTAAAAAGCATTTGGTGCATCAAAACAAGTCAGCAGCACTCAAAGAAGCTATGTGTTCCAATTGTGGTAAAAAAACAGTAAATGACACATCACTGAATGTTCAAGAGAGAATACAGTTAATGTCAGCGCCACAATCAAAGTCAGAAGAATATGTGAGAAAGCATCTGTTACACCAAAACAAGATGGCTGCACTAAAAGAAGCTATGTGTTCCAATTGTGGTAAAAAATCAGTTAATGCAATATCGCCTGATGTTCAAGACAGAATACAGTTAATGTCAGCGCCCCAATCAAAGTCAGAAGAATATGTAAGAAAGCATTTGTTACACCAAAACAAGTCAGCTACCAGCAAAGAATCTCTATGTTTTAATTGTGCTAAAAATGCAGCGAAAGGATTACCGCCTGATGTTCAAGACAGAATACAGTTAATGTCAGCGCCACAATCACAGTCAGAAGAATATCTTAGAAAGCATTTATTTCACCAAAATAAGTCGGATAAAAGCAGCAAAGCTGTATGTTCCGATTGTGCTAAAAAAGCAAAAGATACAATCGATCCTGATATGCTTAAAAGGATAGATTATATATCAGCTCCCGAATCCGAGCCCGAAGAATATATAATAAAGCACCTGTTGTGCTCTAATTGTGCTAAGAAAGCAGAAACCCCTATGGCGCCAGATATTCAAGAAAGAATACAATACATGTCAGCACCGCAATCCCAGTCAGAAGAATATGTTAGAAAGCATTTATTACATCAAAATAAATTAAATGGTAGCAAGGGAGCGTTATGCTCCAATTGTGTTAAAAAAGTGCATAGTGGCATCACACCTGAAATTCAAGAAAGAATAGACTATATGTCAGCGCCTGAATCGGAATCAGAAGAATATATAAAAAAGCATTTGTCAAATCAGAATAAGTCGGCTGGAAGCAAGGAAATAATGTGCACCGTTTGTGCTAGTAGAACAGGAAAGAAGGATGAATTAGTGCCTGAATCAAAAAGCAAATGCTGCTCAAAAACAAACTCTTTAGGAGCAGGACTGATGGTAAAATCACCAAGTCCTAGTCAAAAGGATGTTTGTTGTAAGGTTGCCAGTAAGGAAAATGAAGTAGTCACTTCAGGTAAAGAGAAAGAGACTATTAATTGTGATAAATGCTCTGCTGGAGGAAAACTTGACACTATTGAAATGGATAGAACATCCTCATCAGAATATCATAAACGTTGCTTTCCTGAAAAGCCCCAGCAGAAGGATAAAGGTCCCGATTCATGCTCAAAATTAAATGAAGCGAATAAGCAAACGCCTTGTGGTGTTTGTTCTAGTCAAGAGAAACTTGGAGTATGTTCTCCACGCAGATCAGGTTCCGCGGAAGCAATATGGAGGGATACTTGTACTTCCACTACTGATTTTGATGTCGTACCCAGCACAATGCCGAGTAAATCCACCTTGAAACAATGTAGTAAGTACAAAAAGGAACATTCAAATACTGCCATTAAAATCATTGCAAAGCCTTCATCGCGCTATAAATCTGACAAACAGAGCATTGGTGGTATTTCCGCGTCTTCGGAATGTTTGACATGTAATTATTCATCAAAGACCAAAAGTTTGAATGAATCCGACACAAATGCATTGTGTAAACAATGTAGACATAAATTTGATGGCAAAACTAAAAGAGGTGCATCGGAATCTAATGTATGCAAAAGATGTCAAGCGAACTTTGAAAACAGTGTCACCAGAACTAGTAGTAATCGGTGTCCACGTTGCAAGAAAGAAAAATCATTCACTAAACACACCTGCCCAATGTGCCAGTCCGAGAACTCTTCAATATCAGATTTCCAAGGAGGACTATCGCTCGGTTCCGAGAAATCGAAATGTGGCTTATGTGGAAAAGAGAGTACTAACAGGACGTGTCAGGACGTCGACAGCCTAGGATTGAAAAGCTGCATACTGTCATTTATCAAAGCGAAACTTCTCTCTGAGCGGCCAGAAGACGAAATTCCCTGTCCAAGGTGCAATGCGAGGAAAGATGCTGAGAGATGTGAAACCGCTTGTTTGCTGTGCAAGAAGCGTATGAGCAAAACGAGCAAATTTTCGGAAGATTGGAACAGTGGTGGCTCCTGCACCTTTTCGAATAAAAGCCGTGATCCTGGGAGAGGGTTCTGTGCATCGCAGGACTCGGACGACGAAGAAGTCTGCTGCGGCACGCAAACTGTAGCGAAGCATTCTTGCAAGTTCGATGACAACGTGCAGGTAGCTTGTATACCAGACAATGATAAAACTGGAGAAGTCTCGGTGCAAGAAGACTCTACAGTGAAAACAAAAGAGAGTGGTGTTAATACGAGAACTGCCGACCGGTATGACGTAAGACCTGTGCATTTGCTGTCGAGAAACACGTCACGATCTAGTTGCAGCTGCAAACCTGGAGCCTCGTTGAATTTATGCCGCTGTAAGTCGGCACCGACCTGTAATAGCAAACACAAGTCTTTGCGTGACGTCAGATCCTACGATCTTTGATGTAGCTTCTGAAAATCGTGGAAGAGATGTAGACCACATCATGAAGTCAGAATACAGAGCATAGATTGGGTTAATGCTATTACGTGATACGAAAGTAAGAATTTTGGAAGTACTTCCGAACTATGGTTTTCGTTTTTCTCTGTATATTATAAACAATCGGCAGTTTTCGAAAACTGTCAAAATTAGTGAGCCAACTAAATTTGCAGCAAACCCCATTAAACAAAGTCTAATAATTTCTAATTGAGGTATGCATTTAGATTGTCTTTTTAACTTCCTGTTCTGATAAAATGAAGATGTATGATCCAACCAGAAGATTATATTATATAGAGCACAATTCGGTTGGGTAGAGTTGTCAAAATAAATATTTTTTTAGATCATATTGATAACAAACACTTCCATGTATATTTTTTATATTAAAAAATAAAATCTGAACTCGCAACTCAAATCTGTTTTTCATTTGCGTAGGAAAATTATAACAATCGGCCATGCCTTTTGGCCGCGTCGAAATCGCAACGGACGCGGCCAAAAGGCAAGGCTGATTTCTAAACTTGATTTCTCGACGTTCGACTCTATATATAAAGGACTCAAGTATGGTCGGAGAATTTCACAAGGTTCAAGGTTGCCCCCTCTTAAGTTATTCTGTCGCAGTCAAGTAAATCCCAAAACTCCCGCTAGGGCTCCCATGATTGTTCGAAAGGCAAATAATCTTAAACGGGAACGCGGAGCGGACGTCCCTCGCGGTGACCCACTCAGTACTCCGTCGCGTACAAATTTATCCCGTCGCGTACAAATTCAACCCGTCGCGTACAAATGCAACCCATCGCGTACAAATGTAACCCATCGCGGGACCCGTGACAGACAGCGTCTCACACCGCCACCAGTACAATTACGATCGCGGGGGTGAAAAGTCTATAATGGTTTATTTTGTAGCCAAAAGACGACGCAGACAAGAACACAGTAGACAGCCAATCGAGCGTACTACAGTGCGCGGACGGGCGTTCCGTTTCACGCAGCGCTGATCTATGAAGTACTTTGCTCTCCGTGCTCCCGCTTAAGGCAGCAGAGGCCTTTTTTTTTGTTGATGGTGGAAAATGCATTTACGCACTATACCGCGCGCTTGCTAGGCGCGCGACGTGTGTGGGACTCCCCGGGAACAACGCCGGTCCTACCCACTAAAAACCACCGGTACCCTCCTCGGTCCTTATGAGGGCGTTCTGGGATCGGCGCACCTACGTCACGCCATTACACCAGAGCGTCCTCGGGCTGGCCCGGCCCAACGAGTGGACCGGGCCACGCGCCTATGGGGGATTACTCTAGGGTAGTAGGTAATCCCCAGACGGAAGGCAGCAGAGGCATTATCTAATTAACAAAAACCCGCCATATGGACGTCTGAAGGTGCTGTCCGACGATCTGTGTAGTCGCGGGCGAGGCCGCACCGCGCAGGTTTGCCAAACGTATGAGAAATCTAACGTTCGAGATTTATCAGTATCTATACATGATACGAGGTGATGATACGATGATACGAATAAGGATGCATTTAGTGATGGCATAATGATTCTGTATTTACTGAGACGATCCTTTGTGGACTGGACATTTATTTACTTTCTGATAATATTTTTGGTTTGTGTACATGACACAAATAGTCCACATTGTCCAAATCTCAGATCAAAGTGTGCGAGATTTCTATTTACCTCGTATCATGTGTAGATACTGCTAATTTTTTAGTAATATAAGATATTTACGGGATTGTTACCATGTACCTTGTTTTTAGTAAGTTTCCGTTCCGTTTGTACGTTTGTGGTTCGTATGTGTAAAACCGGAAATAATCAAAAAAGTGTCGTGTCGTGATCCGATACTGTAAGTGTTGTGTGTCGAGAACAGTTTCGAGTGAATAGTGAGAATGTGAACAGTGTACTGGTATCGAACGCAATAAAATACTTCGTCGGAGTGTAGACCGATATGTCTGCCAATAACAGCCTACCCGCAATTCCCCTTCCCTCTCTTCTGGGCACAACACTACCGCTACAGAGCAATATTTCCATGCTCGGTATGGAAGTTCGCTCAGACCTGAATCCAAAGGACTACATCGAAACCGTGATCAAAACAGCTTCACACAAACTCGGAGTCCTGAATAAGGTGCGGCATTTTTTCACGCCCGATCAACTGTGTTTGTTGTACAAAACGCAAGTGCGGTCCTGCGTGGAATATTGCTCGCATTCCGTCGGCCTAGGCACGTCTTAGAGTACCCCGACGACGAAATCACCCGCGCCAACTCGCCTCCGATTCCTCCCACACAAGCCACAAACATCAACACTACACAGCTAGCATACTTGCACACTAGCTTAGCATTAGGCAGACACCGCACCCGTAGGATAAGAGTGCGAAGACCCGGTCTACACACGACACGCTGTACCAGGTACAGGTACGTACCTGGGCGTTTTTCCCCGCCCCCCAAGACAACGGCTAACTAGAGCCGAGGTCCGAGTCTTAGAGACGCCCTCTAGTTGAGCCGACCTCCTCAGGTTCGAGTGGTCTGGAGGCTCCAGACGGAGAGGAGACTCCCCCCGTGGGGTGACGCCATCCGCCTGGAATATCTCCAGAGGCACTCGCCAATTCTCCGCTTGAGGTCCCCTTAGGATCTCGCCGTCCCCAAACCCGGTGACGCTGTAAAGGTCATCTGTGACCAACAGCATATACACTCAAAAAAAAAAGGATGAGGATGGCATGAAACTTTTTGTCGACGGCGAATGCTCGAGTAAACTTTTTGTTTTTAACGAGACTACTGAGAGAATAAGTTTAGTCTTGATGGTTCCAGACGGACAAAAGACGGCCAGTATTTAAATGGAAGCAATAAAAGTTTATGAGACGTTCGCTGGGCTGTCAGTTGTAGATCTGGCGGGAATTCTCTTTGTTATACTAAAAGGTGTACATTTCTACGGGCCTACGATGCCTGATTTCAAACAAATAAATAATAAAGAAAACTTAACTAGAAAAAATTCCACGCGGACCAGGCAGCAGACGGGACTCGAACCCGCACCCTTCACAATCCGGGCGCACTGACCAATTATGCTACCGCGGCCCTCACGGACCGCGTCGAAATCTTTCTAGCCATTCTTAAGCTGCAAGGCAGCGCCATCTCTTCGCATTATAGGTAACCCACGATTTAAACATCAAGCAGTTACATGCTTTAGAATAATAAAAAATGGTTGCCTGTAAAGTCGGTTTTACGGGCGAAGATTTTACGTGACAACGTCTTTTTCTCGGTAGAATATTTATTGATATGAATATAATTAAATTGCACAATAGGAACAAGGAATTGAATGAAAATAAGAATTGCACAAATTTTAACTATAGAAATATATTTTGTTTACTAAAACATTGTACATGTAAGCGGGCCTCTCTCTCGTTCGGTGACTCATCGTAACGTTACCGAGCGTTACACTTTTTCATAAGTGACTCCCAGCCGCAACCTAATTTAAGACGTTGTCACGTCAAAAAATATAAATAAATAATAATTATTGTACATGATAGTTTACTTTCATACATATTTTAACATACAGGGTTACCTAAACATCGAAATTTTTGAAGTGAAAACTTCTTTAGCGGCGTTGTACACTTTTTTTGTATATACACCTTAAAGTCTGACACAAATATGAAATATAAAATCAACCAATAATTATTATAAATCTACAGAATAGAATATCGCATTTAGTTTTCCATAAGGTCCATCAAGGGGACCTATAGTGGGCAGAGGTGTTGGATTATAAACACTGTATTGTAAGTCACCTACAGACCCACGGGAAGGGGAGGGGCCGGTCAGGGTTACCTAAAAAATAGGCCCGTGTAGTGGGTCATGGTCCAATCTCTTTATTCCATCCATAGGGAGGGCATGTGCTACATGGGGCCTATGTGACTTGATGATGATATGTATTCTATCCGTTAACCTAGTATCCCATAACACAAGCCTTACAGTGCCACTTTATGGTGAGGCTTTTTTTTTAATTTTTTTGAGTGTGTATGCTGTTGGTCTCAGACGACCTTTACAGCGTCACCGGGCTTGGGGGCGGGGAGATCCTAAGGGGACCTCAAGCCGAGAATTGGCGAGTGCCTCTAGAGGTATTCCAGGCGGATGATATTTCCCCGCTGGGGGAGTCTCCTCTCCGTCTGGAGCCTCTAGACCACTCGAACCTGCGGGGGTCGGCTCAACTAGAGGGCGTCTCTGAGACTCGGAGCTCGGCTCTAGTTAGCCGTTGTCGTGAGGGGCGGGGAAAAACGCCCAGGTACGTACCTGTACCTGGTATGGCGTGTCGTGTGTAGACCGGGTCTTCGCACTCTTATCATACGGGTGCGGTGTCTGCCTAATGCTAAGCTAGTGTGCAAGTATGCTAGCTGTGTAGCGTTGGTGTTTGTGGCCTGTGTTGGAGGAGTCGGAGGCGCGTTGGTGCGGGTGATTTCGTCGTCGGGGTACTCCAAGACGTGCCTAGGCTGACGGAATCCGAGGGACTTACGATTGCAGGACGGGTGGGCGGCTTATTGGTGTGAGTGTTAGAAACTCAGATTACACAACAAAAGGCAGATGGAGTGCACGGAACACGCAATGCGTGCCACCAAATCAAATACGAAGCCAAAAGCGACTCGCTTCAGTACACCACAACGCATCGTGTTGTAAATAGATGAAACTACCTAATCATTGGCACTGTTCCTATTATTGTCACTTTTGAGTTAAGTTTGAAAAAACCAGGAAACAATAGATTATAGGAATAATAATAATAATAATAATAATCTTTATTTCTTCTTCCACAATCTACAAATTCCATGACAACTTATTATACTTTAATTCTTATATAAAAACAGTAAATAGATTGTGAGAGACTGGTGCCTGAACTAGGCAGAACGCCTGTATCTCAGAGCACCAGGACTCTCCCTCCCCTGGAGAATGTACATTGATCAAATTATAAGGTCATTGATCTTACATATTAAATTGTAGGTATAGGAAGAAAAGAAAAACATCTTAAATTACAAAAGTTACACGACTACGCTTAAAATAAGAATAAGTACCTACAAGCTTTGATTAATATCAAAGCCTACAAGTAACAACTTGCCTTAATTTTTAACTGTAACAATAATGCTGCCAATTTTCAAATTTCGTAACTATACTAGGTTTTATAGATATTAACGGGATTGTTACCATGTACCTTGTTTTTTATGAGTCTCCGTGATCATGGCGCTTGCAACAGTGCCGAAATATCGGAGACTCATAAAAAACAAGGTACATGGTAACAATCTCGTTAATATCTATAATGTTAGTAACCATGAAAGTTTAAAACAACATATACTAGGTTTTTCTTTTTAATATGTAACGACCTTGAATAATTTATTGTCTCCCTTTTTTTTGAATTAAACTTAAAAGTGCCAATAATAGGACGAGTGCCAATGATTGGGTGG